CCTGACAGTAGCGTTGCGTACCCAATTTATCATAATCTCTTGAATAATCTTTCGCTCCGCACAGATTCTCGAAACTCTTGTTATAAAGGTTTCGCCAACAATATTTCAACCTCACATAACTTGAATGATTACCATGCTGACCTCGGGTTTTAAGGTTAGCCATATTTGTACCACATTTCTGATTTCTAGTCCATTCATTTCGCTATTTGTACTCTAACATGCAGGCACAGCCGAAGTTGGTCCCAGTGAGTGTATACACAACGTCGCCCTCAATCAGAAAAGGGATGCTCAGGGTGCGTTCCTAGCTCGTGTCAAACTTCCGGTCTTCCCGGGATGACATGAAGCTCGCCCCACAGCTGGCCCCACTTCGGGTCTTCCCGCAAAAAATCGCCCCTGGCTCGGAAAACACGAGGTCTGACCGGAAGTTTGACACTAGCCAGGAACGCACCCTCAAATTCATTCACACGACGATGAGTTGGAAAATTGGAGAGGCATACACCAAGCCCTCGCCAATTTCACACCCCGTCAGTCCTTCCTTAAAACCAAATTGACATTTTTTGGCTATAGGTATCAGACACCCACGAACTAGAGGCTATCCGAGGCATTGTAAAGTTACGATGTCGGCCCGTCTGACGTTGAGACCGCAACGCTAAGACTGAATCTTCAACTGCGACCATGTTTCTTTTGTTTTTCCACTGATCATGTGCGTAGTCCCAGTCGTTGCTTTCCTTAAACCAAACTGTTTGAAACAACCCTCAAAATCGGGTAATTTTGAAAACGAATATACAGGGGTGTTAAATTGGCCATAGTGAAGTTGGCGAGGACTTGGTGTATTTTGATCCACAGCCGGGGTACACACTAAGGGGCTCCCCCGCAAATTTATGTGCCGCGCTGAGTCAGCATGTGCCGTCATTTTTCTGTTTGTGTCGTCAAAGAATTTATGCATGTAGGGCCGCAAAGAAATCCGCGTGTGGCCTTTTCAAAGAGTGGGAGCTTAGGAACATTGACATATTAGCAGATTGTATAGCCCCTAACGTCTGGATATGTGATGGATAAATCCAGCAAGCCAACCCAAAATTCTATTGAACCACCCTCCGTCAAAACAGTTCGCGATCGTGTCAGCAGAGCAAATCAATTGTTGAGACTGAATCAAAACAGTAGTCTTGCTGATGTGGACATATCTCAGCCGTCCTCACATTTGTGCCGTATACAGTGTCTCGATTTGTATCGTAGTGGTCGGCTCGATATCCCCACTGGGCCTCCCTCCATGTCTCACAAACCCAGGTAACTTTCAATCTCGACGAGGATTGTGGCTGTCTGTGTCAAACATTTTTGTTTGTAGGGGTGGTGGTGATGGGATAGAAAAAAATACTGTACATCTCACTGCTGTGGATGAAATTTGACAAAACGTAAGACAACACGGAACGTGTAAACATTGCTCGGTCGCGACAAAGAATGTTGATTTTGGTTTTACACTTGATATTCACTGGAGTCCTAGGTAGCGTTCAGGAGCAAGGTAAGCGTGTAGTCGTATAAGCGTTACCAGTTTTAACTGTATTCGAAGAACAGTGGGAAGACTCGCTTGCTTTTTTTTTTTTGAAATGGTCAGAAGACAGTGACAAGGGTCGAAACAGCGTGCATCGTGTGGGGTTGTAACGATTGGGCACTTGCCCGTAAAACCCGAGCATTTGACTGTTGGGTGTTTGTTGTTGATTTTGCGAGTATCGTTTGCACGGGGTGCTTGTCAAACAAATGGCCTTTTGACGTACTTTAATGTATGTTTTGTTGTTTCTAGGCCCCATTTTTGCAGGAATCTGTCCCGGATTTTCCTGAATCATAGGGTAATATTGGGCTCACCCTGCTAGGAATATGTCTACATATTTCGTCTCGGTCCCTTTTAGGTGAGTTTTTTAGGCTACCGGGTTTCGGGTTTAGCCTAGGGTTGCGGCCCATGGTAGGCAGCTGGGACTTGAGCCATTGGAACGTCTGGAACTCCTCTACCGCAAGGGAGAGCTCTTGATCGTCCCAGGAGAACTCAAAGGCGAGTTTTTTCGCACTCGTCCCTCTTCAGTTGTTGTTTCAATTCTAAGCCTGCATGTTTATGAACGCCTGGGTGATGGTTCATTCATCCAGAGTTCAGAACCAGGAACGCACAAATCAACTCAAACCCTGAAAAGGAAGAGTGGCCCAAAACGAAAAGCGATGCTGTCCCAGGTTGTGCAAGGCTCAGCACCACAACCAGCTGGTTGTGCCAGTTGTCTCCTAATTCTGCTCATTGCGGTGCGCAAGCCAAGAGATACACCTAACCCAACCCACCGCTATTTTCAAGGGGAAACCCAACCCACTAATCTCGCGTTTCAAAGTCACCCTGCACGTTTTCGACTATTTCAGTTCGACACTTAGATGACTGGGACTATGAATGATGCCTAATGCTCGAAGTTTAAACTCATTATGCGAATCTGAATCCATAGCGCCACTTCTACAGTACTCTCTTCGGGGATCTGGAACAGACTCTCGCTAAAATTTAATGATGCCCCACACAACCCTCGGTCAAAGATTTAGAAAGGGTGCATACCCCACTTGTGCAAGTGGGGCTGAAAATAGACCGAAAGAAAATAGCGGTGATTAGGTGTATCTCATCGACGCAAAATCTTGTCGGTTATTAATACCTCGCCACTGATGCATCCCTTCCATCGGGCACTTCAACTGTTTGTGCCATGAAATCTCATTTCGATGGGTACACCTGCTTGGCATGCGAAGTCATTCGCAAGTCTACCCGCACTCCCAATCCTTTGTGTTTGTAGATTGTGTTGGAATAGGGGAATAGGGCCGTGTAGTTGCCATTTCTCCCTGGAGGTTCCCGTCACAAAATTTGGATGTCGGTGTGGTTTTGTACACTCTGTTTCGCGCCACATTGACATTCGCCACATTGACAAGCTGGTTGTACTGACATCAATGCGTCCAAATTGGTCCCAGAACATACCGTATAAGCACTTTTGCCGCAAGAAACTGAACTCAGAAGCACGTTTTTTTTCATAAAACGTTTTCTACCGTTCTCCTGAAGTGCATTTCGGTTGCAAGCACCAGCCCGCTGAATCCAAGCACACGTGCGCACTGTAGCCGGGGCTCCCGACTGTTCAAACATCGAGAAACAGGGTGTATCCATCACACATGGGTGCAATTTGACAAGGCCTGGGCGGGAGGGGCGACATTGTGGGTCCATTGGGCAAGAGCTCCATCCACCAATTTGCTGGTGGGGGGCTTCTGCTATGGTTGTTCTTGCAACCTGGTACTATACTCACCCTTGAGAACGTACGGTGAGGTTCGGGATGAAGGATTCTTTGTGGGATCAGCTGGGTGGATCGAGTGTTGTGCAAAGATCATGTTTACTCAAGCATTGTATGGGGTCCGCCTACTTTTCGGGTTGGTGTATTGTAATCCTCACCCCGCTTTCTAGCCACATCGTGTCAGGTCCCATTCAGGGAGGAAAGACCCAGGGCTAGCTGGATGACTTCATCCGTTCTTTGGAGGGAAGTCTGGTCCTCCCACTACTCTATGGGGAAGTTAGGATCAAAGTCCAGGCCCCCATAAAATTCTCTTGCCTTGAAGCGCGAGTGTTGGGCTGCAGCAATTTGCCACACCACCACCACCAGTGCTCAAATACACCCTAATGCTCTCTCAACCGCCCACTCTGAACACACCCACTGCCACTCCATACGCCCAGTGGTCGACATTCACAGCCAACGGCCCGCGCGTTACTAGCCCACGACAAAACCAAGATGTTCGAGTTTCCCAGACAAAACACGCTGGGCTACCCACGATTTCCGCAACTGTAGTTTTTTTGTCAACCTTTGTTCTACATTCAGTCCCATTCTGCCCCTAGTGAACGCATGCATGAGAGAGGAGCACAGGGAAAGATGGGGAAGGGGACCGAAATGGGCATCATGTGTAATGTATAATTGCAACAGAACCACGAAATCCATCATCTCCCGTTTTCTGCCAAAAGAAATTTCTGCATTCATCGTGTGAGTCGATGTGGCATTACGTCACTCGTGTGGTGATGGCAGGTTTTTTACTCCTAACCAGTGGGTAACACCTCCAAATCTCATCATCTCAGAAAAAGCAGGGTTCTTACTGGTTGTTACGAGTGTTCCTAAGATAATATTTCAGAATCTCAAAGCCGCCGTTGCATTCGTGGGACAGACTAGTCTTTGCTAAACAAGCGTCAATTTGATACAGGCTGCAGATTTGACTCGAAATCGCACGGAATGTACTGCTGAGTAGCACTAATGAGACATAGGAAGGAATGACGCCATCGCTATTCCATATTTTTATGCAGAGGTTCCGGTTTGAGACAAAGGTAAGACACCCATTCTCAAACATTTCTGCTCAGATGACGCCATGACTAGACAACTGACAGGCAGCAACCACTCGAACCACGCGAGCAACTCGATGAGAGGAGAGAATTTTGCGTCGCGTCTTGTCTTGTCTTGTCACTCCCTCCCTACACAAGCCTTTCAGTGGACTTATCCAACAGAGTTAGTTAACCGTGTTGTGGGAGGAAAATTGGCCTCACTGTAACACGTTCCACATTGCTTCTTAGACTTGGCAAGTAGTTAGAGTGGCAGTGGTGGCATGCGTCTTACGCGGTCTGTGCAGCAAGACCCATGATGCTTTGCGACGAGCGTCGATAAAAACAATCACGACAGCCCGAATTGGCTCGTACGCGTGTGTCACGCGGTCGTTCAGTCGGCAGAAGGCATCATTCACAGCATTGGATCCATCTTCACGCGGCCTAAGAAATGGGTCGTCGAGACGCGCAAGCTCGTTCTACTAGGACTTCTTGAAGCAGCGAGAAGATAAGTTCTTGGCAATACACGAAAACTCGTCGTATCCCGCGGCCTGGCTGTGCCGCGGTATTAATTTTACATCGAAGATTTCTGCGATACACCGTACACGCCGAGTCGCTCCACTGCATTTAATATTCGATTCTCCGCGTGATGAACGATGATCGCCGGCCACCAGCACTGGCGGCGGAAGCGGGAAGAGTCAGTCTGCGCGGCGAATCTGCAGCCGACGGCGGCAGCGGAGTCCCCCTCCCCCCAGCGGAATCTGCAGACGCGGCGTCTCCGCTTCCCGAGACCGCCGACCTCTCAGCGCGAATCCCCACTAGAGGAGCGATGACCGCAGCCGCAGCGTTAGCGCAATGCAGCGGCGGCGCGGGAAGCACTCCTATCGCCAACCGAAACGCCGCCGCGGAAAATGGGGCGGCGTTGTTAATAAGCAGCTCTCCGAGCAGACACGGATTTTTACGGCCCACACCATGGCTCGATCGCGCGACCTTTCCACATTGGATGCTCGGATCTGCAACTGCGACGCCAGTGGATCATAATAGGGGGGTTGCTGCCAGTTATTCTAGTAGCGGCGACGTTGTCCCTTCCCCTGCAACAGCGGCGGCGGCGCGGGATTCGGCGCTCGCCTCCAGCGGGGCCGCCGCCGCCGCCGCATTGCCGCTTGCGCCCTTCGCGTCCGCCATGGACGCTCTCCGCGCGACGTCCCACCGCACGTGGGAGGCGGCGGCGCGCAGCGCGGCGGCCGATTTGCCTTCAGCGGCGGAAGATCGTTCGGCGCAAGAAGGCGGACTCGACGGCGGAAGCAGCAGCGTCGCGTTGCTAGATCTTGCTATGCAGGCCGCAATGCGGCCTGTTTTTTCAGGCGCACATCGCCCTTTGTTCCCCTCCCCCTTCCGCGCACCGCCCCATAGTATGCTACCTATGACCTTCTCAATGGCTTCCCCCATCGTTGCTAGCGCCTCCACCGCTTCCGCCGACGCTGCAACGCCCGCCCCGGGGCCGCCGCACCTACCGTTTCCCCCTCAGATCTCGCGCCTGCCCGCGGATTCTTGCGCCTTTCCGCCCCAGTTCTCCGCCGATCCGCGCCTGTTCCTCACGCGGCTAACCCAACTGCAAGCCGCCGACACCGTCGGCGCAGCCGCTGGCTCCGCCTTCGCCGCCTCCGCCTCCGCGGGTGACCCAGCTGGTGCTGTTGCAGCGCACGCCGCCGCCGCCGCAGCCATTGCAGAGGGGGAACCCCGCGCTGCAAGCTTGATGGATGAGGGGAAGCGGGAAGAAGGGGGAGGGGTGGTGGCGGTGGGAAGCAAGGGGGAATGGGGCGGGGGGTATGATCATGATGGGAGAGGTGGCGGTGATCTGGGCGGCATGGATGACGTGGACGCAATGATGAAGACAGAGAGTGATGCTGACGTGGCAAGTGGTGACAACAGCGGTGGCGGTTGCAGTGAAGATGAGGAGGACGATGGGCATGGGGGGGATGAGGGGCATGGGGGACAGGAGGGGCAGGAGAGGCATGGGGGACATGGGGGGCACGGGGAGCATGGAGGGAACGGTAGGGGGCATGGGGGGCACGAAGAAAAAGCAGGGGAAGAGGTGAAAGGGCAACTGCAGCAGTCGCGGCAAGCTAGACAAACGCAGAATCAGCGTGGGCCTCAAAGGCTTTCCCGCGGCTCCACTAGGGCGGCCAGTGGTCCTCACCAGACCAGGTACGTTGGTGGGGTGCGCATTTTAAAAGGTTGAAAGGGGAACGGCTGATGCATTCTTTGCTCGCTTGCGCTCCTACCTAATTCGAATTATTCTCGTTGGAACTTTGGTTGCTGCGCAACGGGCACGAATTACCACATGGCATGGCACGGCATGGCATGGCATGGCATGGCATGGCTTTGCAATGCATGCCTGCATGGCATGGCATGGCATGGCATGGGCGTGCAGGAAGCGCAAGCCAGTGGTGCATGCAGGGAGCCGCTCAGTGGTGGCAGAGGATGGCTATTTTTGGCACAAGTACGGCCAGAAGACTGTCATGGACCGTGCAGTTACCAGGTAACTTGTGCTTTGTTATGCCGGTGTAGTGACGTGCTTCTACTAGTGGGTGGGCTCCTGGCACAAGTACGGCCAGAAGACCGTCATGGACTGCGCAGTTACCAGGTAACCTTTGGCACAAGCATAGCCAGAAAGCTGCTGTGGATGACATGTAGTTACCAAGTAGGCCAAAAGTGTGATGTGCTGAACTTGACGCAACTTTTGAGTCGACTCAAAAGCCAGCAGTGTGATGTGCTGAACTTGACGCAACTTTTGAGTCGACTCAAAAGCCAAAAGTGTGATGTGCTGAACTGACGCAACCCTGACCATGAAACCTGAACGTCCGGAAGTCGAAACTTGACATGCAACCTGAACTCCTTTGACATCCTCGGATCAACTCGCAACCAATCTCCCCCTCCCCTCCTCTTTTCCCTTCCCCTTCCATTCCAAGGGCGTATTTCCGGTGCGCCCGCCACAGCATGGGCTGCCAGGCCAAGAAAACCATCGACTCGCCACTCGTGCTTGACCCTGCTACAGCCACTGCCACAACCGCTGCTACAGCCGCTGCCACAACCGCTGCTACAGCCGCTGCCACAACCGCTGCTACAGCCGCTGCCACAACCGCTGCTACAGCCGCTGCCACAACCGCTGCTACAGCCGCTGCCACAACCGCTGCTACAGCCGCTGCCACAACCGCTGCTACAGCCGCTGCCACAACCGCTGCTACAGCCGCTGCAGATACACACACGACTGCTTCTGATCCATCCTCCCCTGCCACGAGCCCTAGAGCCACTTGGGGCGGCACTACAGCCAAGGCAGAACCCTGCACAGATGCATCCGGCGCTACAGCTGTCGTTACAGCCGGTGCTGCCTCTGCCACTCAGAGCAACAGCACTGGCACTCCGAGAAAACCATCAGCTGCATCTGGTGCCGCTGCTTCTGCTGCTGCTAGTGATGCTCCTGACACTGCTGGTGGTGCGGGTGGCGGCGGAAACATCAGCGGTAGCACCAGCAGCAGCATCAGCGTCGTATACCACGGAACACACAACCATGCCAAGCCCGGTGCCAGTGCCTCAGAAGCTTTCACCCGAGTCATACGCGTTCCCACCTCCCTCCATCCATCTCTCTCCTCCTCATTCCCCCCCTCCCCCCTCCCCAATTCGCTCTCTTCCCCACTCCCTCCCGCTTTCTCTGTCTCATTCCCTCGCTCGCTCTCCGCCAACGTCCCTTCTTCTCTCGCGAGCTCACAGGGAGCAGCAGCAGGAAGCGGATCAGCAAGAGCGGCCGGCTTGGGAGGAATAGAAGCAGCAGCAGCAGCAGCAGCAGGAGCAGGAGCAGTAGGAGGGGCGGGGAGGGCACAAGGAATGACAGAAGAAGCAAAAGGATTGCAGGGGAGGTCAGGCGAAGCAGGCATGGTGCTGAGCCCTCATCAGACCATTAAGAGGGCTGCATCTGACGGCTCACATGCAGCCTCACGTGTTCACATGCTCTCAGCCTCACTGGCCCTTAACCCTGCCCAAGGCACGTCTACACTCTTCGCTGCAGCCGCGGCAGCAGCAGCGGCAGCCGCTGCCGCGGCAACGATGGCAGCACCAGCAGGTGGTGTTGGTGGCGCTGCTTCTGCTGCTGCTGCTGCTGCAGCGGCCCCTGCCGGGCCTTTTTTCTCACCCCTGGTTACCTCTCTTCACCGCTCTGGAAACCCTGTGGCGGACGCGTCAATGAGGGGCTTGCCATCAATCGCAGGTAGCTCAGTTTTGCCGCACATGGGGGTATCTGGCGGACCTTTTTGCGGATCCGGGGGGAAGTTTGACTCGTCTGCGGCTCCTTTTGGCTCCCTAGCCATGCTGCGCGCAGTGCAGATACAGCAGTCCCAGCTGCAGCAGTCCCAGCTACAGCAGTCCCAGCTGCAGCAGTCCCAGCTGCAGCAATCCCAGCTGCAGCAGTCCCAGCTGCAGCAGTCCCAGCTGCAGCAGTCCCAGCTACAGCAATCGCAGCTACAGCAATCGCAGCTACAGCAATCCCAACCACAGCAGTCCCAATCACAGCCAGCACTGCAACATCCATTCATGCAGCCACCACCACACTTCCAGCCGTCCTCGTTTCAAGCATCCCCGTTTCAAGCACCTGCGTTTCAACCCACGGCTCAGGTGATAAATAATCTGAACAACCCGAACCCGTTTGTGACGTCAGCAGGTCCCCTTTCCACATCAGCGTTTCCTGTAACACTGTCAGCTGCGCTCATGCCACTTCAGCACCCAGCCTTCTTATCTCCCCTTTCCCAACAACAGCAACAGCAACAGCAGCAGCAGCAGCAGCAGCAGCAGCAGCAGCAGCAGCAGCAGCAGCAGCAGCAGCAGCAGCAGCAGCAGCAGCAGCAGCAGCAGCAGCAGCAGCAGCAGCAGCAGCAGCAGCAGCAGCAGCAGCAGCAGCAGCAGCAGCAGCAGCAGCAGCAGCAGCAGCAGCAGCAGCAGCAGCAGCTGCAGCAGCAGCAGCAGCTGCAGCAGCAGCAGCAGCAGCAGCAGCAGCAGCCTCAGAACCCGCCTCAGAATCAGGTGCACCCGCCTAGGCCAACGAGCGGCCAATCCAGCTCCACCTCCTCTCTCCCCCCCTCTGACGTCATCAGCCCTTCGTCCTGCTCCAACCCCTCCCCTCGCAACATCCCTGCTGGCGTCACCATGGCTGTAGCTGCTGAAGTCCTCACACTTGCAGGAGTGGGGTCTCAGGTGGTGGGGGTGGGAGAAGGAGGAGGGGCAGCAGCAGCAGGCGGGGTGGGTGCGGCAAGGGGGGGCAGTGAGAGCGTTGCAAGAGCGGCAGGAGCACATGCAGGACGAGTGGAACGAGTGGGAGCAGCAGATGAAACGAAGGGGAGTGGGCAGCTGCCGCCCGGAAAATTAGAACCACGAGATGAAGCCGGGAGAGGGGCAGGTGGCGAGCCCAAAGCGCCTTCCCTCCTCTCTCTCTCCCTCCGCCCCTCCCCTCTCACCTCACCACCACAAGGCCCCGCACTGCCAAACCCCCTACTTCTCTCTCCTTCCCATAAGCCCCTTGTCGACTCACACAGCAATCCCCATAACAATCCCAGTGAGAAAATCCACGAGAGTCCCGATAGTCAGCCCCACCCATCCCATCGCCCACGCTTTCCCAGTGGGCCAATCTCAGCCGTCCGTTCGGCCTCTGCTGCCCACCTGCCCTCCTCCTCCTCCTCCTTCTCCCACCACTCCCCCTCTGTCCGCCCAGCGTCCGTCCCTCACCTGCCCTCCTTCTCCTCCTTCTCCCATCATTCCTCCGCACCCCCCAACCCCACCCTCGCTCCGCAACTGCCCTCCTCCTCTCATCATCCCTCCACCCCCGCCGCCCCCTCTGCCGCCCAACTGCCCTCTTTCTCCTCCCTGTGGCTGCAAGCACATGGGGCCACCCACGCTTCTCCCCATAACCCCACCGCTCCTTACAGTCACACCTCTGGTTACCACCAGCCTACCACTGGAAGCCCAGGGCAGGGGTTAATCCCATGGAAGGGCCTGGCAGGGCACGCACGGGAGGGGAAGCGTGAGAAGGAGGGCGAGGGGAGCCCTTCTGGCCGAGTGCCTTACTTTCAGACGGCGGGAATGAAGGGAGAAATGACACAATATGTGACTTCGTCAGGAGTTTTTGCTGCCGCCGGTGCTGCTGCTGCTGCCTCTGCTGCCGGTGGTGTTGGTGGTGCTGGTGGTGTTGCTGCTACTGGTGCTGACACGTGTGGTTCCAGAGGGGACGTTACTCCTGACGTGAGTCAGCTCTTGAAGAGGATACGGGTGGAGTGGAGCACTGGTAAGGGAGACATAAGAACTGAGGATGGGTCTCAGCGGACCAGGGCTCTTGCGCTTAGGGGCAGGAGGGCAGGAGCGGGAGGAGAAGCAGATAACGGTAGTGAGCGAGGGGATGAGAAGCGAGGCGAGATGGGGGGAGAGAGGGGGATAGAGTGGAGCGGTGAGGGGGAGCAGGGGAAGAAGGCTTTGAGTATGGTGGGAAGCGGTGCTAGAAGGCATTTATTTCAACGTGGGGAGGATGGGAGAGGTCTTGGGAACAGACAGCAGCAGCAGCCGCAGCTGCAGCCGCTGCAGCAGCAGATGGTGGCAGAGGCGCGGACAACCCAGCAATGCCAGCAAGGGATGCAGCAAGAACGGCAGCAGGGGTTGCATCAACAGCAGGAGGTGCAGCAACCAGGACAGCAGCAGGAGATGACGAAGCAATTGCAGCAGCAGCAGCAGGAGCAGCAGCAGCAGCCAGGGCAGAAAAAGCAGTGTGTTGATCTGGAGCTTAGACTCTGACACGTGGCAACTTGCACCTCGAATCTGGGTTGATAGCTTTATCAGGTGCCACGGATTGGACTTCACAGTTGGTGTAGCAGGAAGCTGAATCGGACGGAGGAGAGTGGTTGGATAAGTAAGAGAATCATCTCAGGTTAGGAGATATGAGGGTAGGCGAATGATTTGAGATTAGGAAAATGAGCTGAAATTTAGGCGGTTAAAAAATAGGAGAGTGATTTGAGAGTACGAGACGCTTTGCAAATAGGAGAGCAATTTGGAAGTACGGTACGCATACCGTAGTTGAAGGAAAAAGTACCGTATGATTTAGGTAAGTTCTAGACCTAAGGTATCTGTAGTCAAAAAATCCCAAACGCAAAACATACCTCGTATTTTTTGTCAAACATAGCTAACGAGCCTTGCCTTGCCTCATGGCTCCAATAGCTGTAGGAGTAATTAGAAGAGCGACGGGAAGAATTTGCACAATGAACGGCCTATTTCTATTTCTTGATTCACCCACCCTCACTCTGAGCTTCGAGAAGCTTTCCGATGAATGCCCTGGTGCAACAAGAAACCCGCGACGGTGGTGGAAATGTACAGGCTACAAGATGGATGCAGAAATAACACCGCGATTTTGGAGCGAAGAAAAAGCTGGATACACTCTGATCGGCAGAAGTGTTGCATGTAATCGAATCGGACCCCACTTTGACGGGAAGTTATGGCGAGTACATGCTTCTGACGCGGTCTGAGACGGTTTACTACCGTTCGGAACGGTTTAGTTTACAACCGCTTCGGACCACTGCACACCGGAATGGAATATTCAATCTGACCCGCCTTAATTACTCTTGATGGAGAAGCTATTACCAAATCACACTTGAGCCCCGCAAGCGCATCAGGCGTTCTGCTCTCATCTCATCCCCTCTTACACCAAGAAAACACCCATATCCGTGTCTTGGGATCAGCTTGTTGATTCCTCTATCTCCCCAGGATCGAATCCTCGAGGCGGTTGATTCTGGTTCTCAGGATTGACTCGACTCGAGGTCGAGCATTCACCCTCCCTTGAATCGGTGCCACTCCGCCTCGCATCACCTTCGCAGTTATCCTCGTTCCGTCTCCACCATTCCATAAGACCTCCCCGCCGCCGCCGCCGCCGCTCCCGGTGCCTTCGCTATCACGCAACTCGTTATATTCGCTGGACATGCGTTGACTTCCGTTGACTCCCGTTGATCTGCACGCACACGCTGCATGGCCGATGGCGTCGTCGCGCCACGTGCTGCGTAACGCGCTCTCCGCGTTCCGCTCCCGCATCCGCGAGTCGAGCACTCTCATCAACCCCCGTTACAAGCACGTTTCGCAAGCCACCAGTAGTTTACCCACATCAAGCTACTTCCCCCCGTTAGTCGATCGAGCCGCCATCTCGCCGCAGTTTCACCACCAAAGCCCCCTCTGCCTTCGTTATAGCAACCCGTTGCCTTCCCTGCACCCGCGCGCGTTCTTCCCTCACGCTTTAGTCACATCCGCGCAACATTCTAAAGCAGGTCTCGACGCTACTATAGTCACACCCGCGCAGCAGCTGCATTCGCCAGCCTGCTGGCGGGTGACGTGGCATCCGCAGAGCACACGCCAAGGGGTTGCTGTAGTCGCGCTGGTGGGCTGCAGTGCCACGTCAGCAGCATCTGCGTCGTTCCATCATGGTGATTCCCTCACCTCTTCTGCACGCGGCTTGCACTTCTGCTGCTTTTGAGTCGACTCAGAAATACGCTTTCTTGCACGCGTGCTGCACAGATGACCACTTCATTTGTGCATCCCACTCGTGCTGCTTGCTTTCTCTATCTCTCAAAAACCGAGGAACCACCCACCCTCAACCCCATACTCCCCCTCTCCCCATACTCCCCCTCCCCCCATACTCCCCCTCCCCCCATACTCTCCCCCCCCCCCCTCCCTCGACTTCCCGCACCCCCCCTCTCATCTCTCTCTTCTTCCCTCCTCTCCCTTAACCCCCATTCCCTCCGTCTTCCCGGCTTTTAAATCCGCAAATGTATCCCCCTTACAGGCATCTCCGTTCTCTCTCAAGAGACCAAACCAGCCGAACCAACCAGCCAGAGCCAGCAGCAGCAGCAGCAGCAGCAGCAACCCCAGGCAGCCCGGCAGCCGCCGAACCAGCAGAATCAGCAGGCTCGGCGGAGGTTCGGAGCGAGCGGGCCAACAGGGAGGCAGGCAGAGGCGAATAAGTCCCATCTGATGTACTTAATCGCTGCCGCGCTGGCCATGCTGGGCGCTGCCTATGCCTCCGTGCCCCTCTACCGCCTCTTCTGCCAGGCCACTGGGTTTGGAGGGACGACGCAGAGGAAAGAGGTGCGGGGGGGAGGAGGAATGGGGGAAAGAGTGGGGACCGGGGTTGATTGAGGGGGGAAGAAAGGGGAGTGAAAGGTGGTGTTGGTTGGCGGGGGAGGGGTAACCTCTCAGACATCTGCTCGTGCTTCTTCCGTTTTGACTGTTTCGTGTCATTGTCTTGCACCATGCCGCATTGACTGTTTCGTGTCATTGTCGTGCACCATGCCGCATTGACTGTTTCGTGTCATTGTCTTGCACCATGCCGCATTGACTGTTTCGTGTCATTGTCGTGCACCATGCCGCATTGACTGTTTCGTGTCATTGTCGCGCACCATGCCGCATTGACTGTTTCGTGTCATTGTCGCGCACCATGCCGCATTGACTGTTTCGTGTCATTGTCGTGCACCATGCCGCATTGACTGTTTCGTGTCATTGTCGTGCACCATGCCGCATTGACTGTTTCGTGTCATTGTCGTGCACCATGCCGCATTGACTGTTTCGTGTCATTGTCGTGCACCATGCCGCATCGACTGTTTCGTGTCATTGTCGTGCACCATGCCGCATTGACTGTTTCGTGTCATTGTCGTGCACCATGCCGCATTGACTGTTTCGTGTCATTGTCGCGCACCATGCCGCATTGACTGTTTCGTGTCATTGTCATGCACCATGCCGCATTGACTGTTTCGTGTCATTGTCGTGCACCATGCCGCATTGACTGTTTCGTGTCATTGTCGTGCACCATGCCGCATTGACTGTTTCGTGTCATTGTCGTGCACCATGCCGCATTGACTGTTTCGTGTCATTGTCGTGCACCATGCCACATTGACTGTTTCGTGTCATTGTCGTGCACCATGCCGCATTGACTGTTTCGTGTCATTGTCGTGCACCATGCCGCATTGACTGTTTCGTGTCATTGTCATGCACCATGCCGCATTGACTGTTTCACTCTTCTCACTCTTCTCATTCGTCTCGTTGTTGGCCGGCTGTGACAAAATCGCGCAGGCAGTGGAGGAGAAGGGTGCGCGGCAGAATGCAGACAACAGGGTCTGTGTGTTCGGAAGCGTGCTGTGTTGCTCCGTGCTGCCCTCACCCACCTCACGCTGCTCTTCCCCTGCTCTCCCTCTGCCTTCCCTCTGCGTGTCACTGAGTCTTGCAGACGGTGGAGGAGAAAGTGGCACGGCAGAATGCACACAACACTGATAATGCCGTCAATTCTGGCTGTGCTGCTCTGTTGCGCTCTCACTCCTACGCTTCTGCTCTCCCTCTGCTCCCCCTCTGCTCTCCCTCTGCTTTTTGTGCAGACGGTGGAGGAGAAGGTGGCACGGCAGAATGCACACAACACTGCAGCGCCTGCCAGGTACGTTGCTGTGGCTAGGGCCTGCTCGCTTCACCTCGCCTCACCTTTGCTCACCTCCCAGTAACTCATACTGCTCATCGCACCTACTTGTATTAATCGCAATCAATCCTAATCAGGCATAGCAACACGCTGTCGCCTCATCCCATTCCCTCTTCTTCTCAAAACCCCTCAATATTTTCATCCGTTCTACGTGACTGCTGTCTCCCTGGTTGTTCTTTCCCCGCCACACGTAAACTGCAGGGAGCTGGTAATTCATTTCAATGCTGACGTGGCAGAGGGGCTGCCGTGGCGCTTCATCCCCACACAGAGAGAGGTGGGTGTGACGCGTGGCGTGCTGATATGCCACCATCGCATCATGGCACATCTCATCATGAGATGCCCAATGTGGCTGGGACTGTGCATGGCGTGGCATGGCATGGCATGGGATTGGATGGCATTTCATTGCATGGCATGGCATGGGATCGGTAGGGGTGGGATCTGTCAAAAGAGGACAGGTGGGCTGCGAAGGCCTTACTTCCATCAACTCTTGCTGTATTAGGACAACGAGACAAACTTCATGAAAAATGGTAAGGGTGGGATCCCGCATGGCATAACAACAAGGGAGATGGCAGTCACATTGCATACTACTCTTCCTCCCCTGCTGCTTTATCAATGTGCCATATACCTGCCTGCTCTGTGATGCTGCCACTTTGAGTTTTGAGACGTCTTCAAACAAATTCTTGAGACGTCTCAGAACTCTGCTGTGTCATCAATGTGGCACATACCTGCGTGCTCTCCGATGCTGCCACAACTCACTTTGCCAATTCTCCACGTACCATTTGTCCCGAACCTCTCGCACAGGTTCGGGTGAGGCCCGGCCAGAGCACGCTCGCGTTCTACACAGCGCACAACAAGAGCGACAAGCCCATCACAGGCGTCAGCACCTACAACGTGTCTCCCATGAAGGTAAGTGTGCGCCACTCGTGGTGTGCTGCTCTTGGTGTGCCGCCCATAGTGTCCGGCCATGTCTTGAAGGTGTGTTTGCCGCGTCAACTCAAAGCACAACAAGAGTGACAAGCACATCACAGGCTTCACCACCTACAACGTCTCTCCCATGAAGGTGCGAGCCACTCATGGTGTGCCACTCATGGTTTGCTGGTGTGACATGCATGGTGTGCTGGTGTGCCGCCCATATCTTGAATGTGTGCCGCCCATATCTTGAATGGGTCCCCAACCTTTCCCCCCACAGGCGGGCATCTATTTCAACAAGATCCAGTGCTTCTGCTTCGAGGAGCAGCGCCTTCAGCCCGGAGAGACCATCGACATGCCTGTGAGTGGGAGAGACCATTGACATGCCTGTGAGTGGGAGAGACCATTGACATGCCTGTGAGTGGGAGAGACCATTGACATGCCTGTGAGTGGGAGAGACCATTGACATGCCTGTGAGTGGGAGAGACCATTGACATGCCTGTGAGTGGGAGAGACCATTGACATGCCTGTGAGTGGGAGAGACCATTGACATGCCTGTGAGTGGGAGAGACCATTGACATGCCTGTGAGTGGGAGAGACCATTGACATGCCTGTGAGTGGGAGAGACCATTGACATGCCTGTGAGTGGGAGAGACCATTGACATGCCTGTGAGTGGGAGAGACCATTGACATGCCTGTGAGTGGGAGAGACCATTGACATGCCTGTGAGTGGGAGAGACCATTGACATGCCTGTGAGTGGGAGAGACCATTGACATGCCTGTGAGTGGGAGAGACCATTGACATGCCTGTGAGTGGGAGAGACCATTGACATGCCTGTGAGTGGGAGAGACCATTGACATGCCTGTGAGTGGGAGAGACCATTGACATGCCTGTGAGTGGGAGGAGCGGCCCCAAGAGAGGGGCACGCCTGTGAGAGGGGCAGACATGATGGCATGAGTTATGTGGCATGCATGATGGCATGAGTTATGTGGCATGCATGATGGCATGAGTTATGTGGCATGCATGATGGCATGAGTTATGTGGCATGCATGATGGCATGAGTTATGTGGCATGCATGATGGCATGAGTTATGTGGCATGCATGATGGCATGAGTTATGTGGCATGCATGATGGCATGAGTTATGTGGCATGCATGATGGCATGAGTTATGTGGCATGCATGATGGCATGAGTTATGTGGCATGCATGATGGCATGAGTTATGTGGCATGCGTGATGGCATGAGTTATGTGGCATGCGTGATGCCATGAGTTATGTGGCATGCATGATGGCATGAGTTATGTGGCATGCATGATGGCATGAGTTATGTGGCATGCATGATGGCATGAGTTATGTGGCATGCGTGATGGCATGAGTTATGTGGCATGCGTGATGCCATGAGTTATGTGGCATGCATGATGGCATGAGTTATGTGGCATGCATGATGGCATGAGTTATGTGGCATGCATGATGGCATGAGTTATGTGGCATGCGTGATGGCATGAGTTATGTGGCATGCGTGATGCCATGAGTTATGTGGCATCCATGATGGGCCACCATCACCAACTGTTCATCCCCCTCCCACCCCTACACTGCCACTCCACCCGCTCACCACCGCCCATCAGGTGTTTTTCTACATCGATCCAGAGTTTGCCAGCGACCCACAGATGAAGAACGTGAACCATCTCACCCTCTCCTACACCTTCTTCCGTGTTGACTCGCCGTGATTGACTTCTGTTGACTTGAGTTGACCTGCACTGATTGGTTGCTGTTGACCTGTGTCATCACCCTTCAAATAGAGTGCACTAACAAAATGGCTCCACTTAAGTTTGTGTGTGCACGAAATATCTGGTGGATCTCTAGTTTGAGAGCACAGCTTGACCTCCTAAATTTTACAGACGTGGAAAAAGTCATTACACAGTACGGTACATGTGAAAAGAAATATAACAACAAAATATAATACAGCATAAGGCTACTTTACAGGAACTAGCCTCTGAATAATATTATACAGGAACTCCGACCATGTATCTTCCGGTCCCGGCAAGCAGTAATGCAAGCAGTCCATTTTCTCAACAAACCCTCTATGCCCGTCAGGTCTCAAGGCACTTAGATGATCAACATCCATGAACACACCCCCCATTGCCTCCACTATGGGCCGCACCGCATCGTTTTGCGCCTTGAATTCCCCCCAATGAAAGGGTAAATCGCTCCCGTTTTGCCGCTTCAAAAGGGGCTTGTTGTAGTCCTTGCAGTTGAGGTGACCCGTGGCCGTCGCCCGGTAAATGATCAGCTTCTCGTGGTAATTATACCGGAGAAATTGCAGCGCGCGCGACACCGACAACACAACATGCCCTGTGGATTTGAAATGCGCGCCTCGATTCAACACCACCACATGCGCATCCTTAATCTCCTCACTCTCCATCCAAGGCGTGCTAATCCATCGCACACGGTCCCTCTTCTCCTCCCACACAGGCACAAGCCGCCGGTTTGCAATGTAATGCACCACCAGCTTTCCACACCCGCCGTCATCCACATCATCGAATCGGTATGTCGCTCGGGTGAAATAATCGCCTTTTTTTCGCAACATCTGCGCCACCCACGCCGCACTGTCCTCTCTGGTTACCACGCTCGCCGGCTTTCGCACGTGTGTTACAATGCTATGTACAAAGGATATGTGTGCCTCTCGGGTAAGTGAGTCCCCGACAAAAGCAATTCTCAACCCGTCTTTCCTCCGCCGAGCCAGCTCACACAGCGCGCGCCCGTCGAACCTAGAGAACAGCTCGTCAGGTTCGGAAACTTCCGAGCCTGGAACAGCCTGGGCTCGGGCGCCTAGCTTTGCATGAACCACACGTGGACACCTGTCCTTGGCAACCCCCCACTGGTACTTCAACGCATCCCTCACCTTCCACGCCTGCTCCCGTTCCTCCCGACCCATCTCCCGATCCAAAGCGACAGTGTCGGCAGCAGCTCCGGCCAAGCCGCCGTTTTCCCGGACGTGGAACAGGTCGCAGTTGTCAAAGCCACGTTCGGCCCAGGGCAGCACACGCGGGGTGACGTTGAAATGCCACTCCCCCCTCTCCGCTACACACGCCGCCCACCGCCTAAACTCCCCCACCTGGCCCGTCCCCTTCCGTAGCCTTGACCCCGGGATGGAATCGCTGAAATCTTCCGGTTTGCCGTTGCTATCCCCCAGCCTTGACCCTGGGATCAAGTCGCCGAAATCGCCGAACCTGCTGGCAGCTTCGGCAAAGTCACTGGGATTGGCATGGATACCAGCGCTGGTGACAGTGGTAGGCTCGAGAGTTGGCTTGAAGGCGTCGGGAGGAAAGGAGATTGCAGGAATTCCTGTGAGGGCCAGTAGGGTCGGGTTTCTTCGGACTGTAGCGAGCACTGTAGCGTACACCTCGTCCACGTGGCACTGTTCCCCCGTGTTCTTGTCCAGCCACGTGGGGTCGCACACGCTAAGATAATGTCGAATCCCGAGCCGCTCCGCCAGCTGGCAGTGCCACGTGGCGGCGCTGGGTTGGCCGATGAGAGCAGACTCAGCCGCTGCTTTCTTGTGGTAGGGTGAGCGGAGGAGGAGCGAGAGGGGGAGGGAGGAGCGGGGGCGGGTAACGGGGTAGGGAAGCAGTTCGATGAGGGTGGAATTGAATGGCATGAAGAGGAGGTTGGTGAGGGCGGGCGATGTGGGGCCCACCAGGAGAATGGCTCTTGAGAACAGTGCCTTGGCTGCACGGGGAGGACAAGGGGGGGAAAGGAAGGTGGGCAGGTGACAGAGTAGGGGAGGAGTTTGATGCTAGTGGAGTTGAAGGGCATGAAAAGGACAAGGAGGTTGGTGAGGGCGGGCGATGTGGCGCCCACCAGGAGTATCGCTCTTGACAACAGGGCCTTGGCTGCAGGGGGGGTAGGGGAAAGAAAGGTAGGGAGAAGCGGGAAAGACGAAAAAAAAAGAGACAGAAAGAGGTTAAACTGAAAAAGGGTTTGAACAACAAACAGAAGGCAGAAGAATACATCAATCGCTCAATCGCTCAAGCAAGCCCTGGTGCGGCAGCATGTGCTTGTCAACGACAGCCCCTTGGGCATCGTTTTAATCACATCACATGCATGCTTGCCTCTCCGCTCCTTCACTCATGCCCTTCTCTATATTCACGTGCATGCATCCATACCCGCCTGTCTGTGCGCCTGAGAGTCACCCACCTTGCAGCAGCGGCATGTGCTCATCGTATACAATCACCCTCCCATCCGAGAACAGCTCCTTGAGCATCGCTATAATCACATGCATGGCTGCCTCTGTCTCCCTCACACCCTCCCCCCCTCCCCCTCCCTCCATCACATGCATACTCCACACCACCGACACCACCACCACCCAATCCTCCGGCAGCGCCCGCCCCACCACCAGCCCATCAGGCGAATCTTCAGGTGAAACTTCAGGTGAATTCTCAGGTGGTTGTATTTGCAGGGGCGCGGGGAGGCGGGGGGTCCAGTCGGAGGAGAGGATGGGGAGGCCGTGGGGGGGCAACAGGTGGTAACCGCGGAGGGCCAGCCAGAGGGCATCAGGGGCGCGCGGTGGAGAGGAGTGGAGTGCGGTGAGCGGAGGTGAAGAGAGGCCGCAGAGGCTGGGGGTGTGGATGGGGAGGAGGAGGGTTCTCGCGAAGAATAGGTGGGCAGGCATGCCGGTGGTGGCAGCGGTGGGATCAAGACCAGTGTCTGGGTGGTTGTAAGAGCCGTCGCTGCTGCTGCTGCTGCTGCTGTAGACGCCGTGCAGGAGGGCTGAGGGGTGGCGGATGGCTAGTGGTGCGAGGTCCACACCAAAGACATCTGGGCCGAGATGGGATAGCAGCTGATTCATGGAGAGGGGGGGAAAGAAGGAGGAGAGGGGAGGGGGGAGGGGAGAGGAAGCAGAGAAAGGGAGAGGTGAGGCGCTGTTGCTGCTGCTGTGGGTGCATTGAAACAGGATTGAGGAGTGGCGGTTGGCTAGTGGGGCGAGGTCCGCACCGAAGACATCCGGACCGAGATGGGATAGCAACTGACAAGGGAGGGGGAAGAGGGGACGAGGGATAGAAAAATAGAGGTGAGGTGGTGTTTCTGCTGCTGTGGGTGCTTTGAGAGAGGGCTGTGGATGGTGCGGTGCCTGGCTAGTGGGGCGAGGTCTACACCAAAGTTGACGGTTGAGTCGACTCAAAAGGTGCGGTGCATGGCTAGTGGGGCGAGGTCTACACCAAAGTTGGCTGTTGAGTCGACTCAAAAGGTGCGGTGCATGGCTAGCGGGGCGAGGTCTACACCAAAGTTGACTGTTGAGTCGACTCAAAAGGTGCGGTGCATGGCTAGTGGGGCGAGGTCTACACCAAAGTTGACTGTTGAGTCGACTCAAAAGGTGCGGTGCATGGCTAGTGGGGCGAGGTCTACACCAAAGTTGACTGTTGAGTTGACTCAAAAGGTGCGGTGCATGGCTAGTGGGGCGAGGTCTACACCAAAGTTGACTGTTGAGTCGACTCAAAAGGTGCGGTGCATGGCTAGTAGGGCGAGGTCAACACCAAAGTTGACTGTTGAGTCGACTCAAAAGGTGCGGTGCATGGCTAGCGGGGCGAGGTCTACACCAAAGTTGACTGTTGAGTCGACTCAAAAGGTGCGGTGCATGGCTAGTGAGGCGAGGTCTACACCAAAGTTGACTTTTGAGTCGACTCAAAAGGTGCGGTGCAAGGGTAGTGGGGCGAGGTCTACACCAAAATTGACTTTTGAGTCGACTCAAAAGGTGCGGTGCATGGCTAGTGGGGCGAGGTCTACACCAAAGACATCCGGGCCGAGATGGGATAACAGCTGACACATGGTTGGAGGTGAGGGTAGGGCGGAGGTGCGGAGGAGGCAGGAGAGAAAATGAGGTGAGAGTGGGAAGATTAGCCTGAGGTAGGATGTCTAGGTCAAAGCTACTTTCTGTGAACGAGGGCGCTGTGCTCGTATCACATTTGAACATTCTCAGAGAGTAAGTGAGAGCTTTTCTGGCCCAGCAATCATGTTTGAGTTGAAAGACGTCGTTCTCAGGGTGTGAGAGGAGAGGCGAGAGTTCTCCTGCCCCATCACCCTCACCTCCCCACAGCTCACATGGCGGTGATGTAGCAGCAAGGGGAAGCGCCGCGCGGTGGGCATGGGGGAGGAGGCGAGCAGGAAGAGCACTGGCAGCAGCCGCAGCAGCCCCCTCCCCTCCCTTGCGCTTCCCCCCCGACTCACATGAGAGTGGTTTGCGGGCTGATTTGACACGTCCAATCTCGCTGCACCCCAACACTCCCCTCCCCTCGCCACAACTCACATGCCGGTGATTCAGCAGCAAGGGGAAGCGACGGGCAGAGGGCATGAGCGAGGAGGCGAGCAGGAAGAGCACTGGCAGCAGCCGCACGAGTCCACGTGTCCCCCCACTGTGCACCCTCGCCTGCGCCACCCACTCTCCGCCTCCGCTCCCCTTACCCCCACTCTTCTCCTCCTCCTCCTCCTCCTCCTCCTCCTGTTCGTGTTCATAGGGGAGTAAGTTCACCAGATGCTCGTGCACGCTCACAGGGGTACCTGGGGGGAAGGAGAGGGACTGGACAAAGGGGAAGTCACACTTCAACATACCGGCTTTCTAGGCAATAGCTTTTTAGGCGCCTCAAACCTTGAACAGACTCAAGGGAGGTAAGCATGGAAGCTGAGAGGCACGGAGGTAAATCTGACTAGACACAGCAGGCATTACTTCTGAAGCCATAATCAGCGGAAGGCTCACACAAAATTTGCCTCTCCCTTTTTTCAATCACGAACTCACACTCTCCTCTCGGCCACCCCTCGGCCTTTCAAATCCTGAGTCGACTCGAATCGCACGCCCTGACTTCAGAGCAACCCCTCAACACACCTCTATGCGGCGAGTTGTGCACAGCCGCTCCCACACACTCCTCCCTCTCCTTCCTCAGCTCATTCATTGCCACGACCCGTCTCGCCTCCCCTCATGCTCCCACTGCTTGCTTGCTCTTTCTGAAATTAAGTTTCGCAGACCTGAACTGACGAAGGTACTGTGCGGCCACCGCAGCCCACCTGACTGCAGCCCACCTGTCCTCTCCACTCCACTGATGACAACTCATGCTCCCACTGGGCCCATGTGTTGATGACATGACACGTGGACACGTTGACCACTGCGAACCCCTCTCAATCTCACCTTTAGCCTTCCCGGGGCTGCTCACCTTCTTCAGCTTCAGCGCTGCTGCATGCTGACTCTTCCCCGCCGCCTCCCCTCATGCTCACGCACGCCCCATGCTATGAGAAGACATGGGACGCGTTGAACACAATACCCTCTCCTCACTATTAACCTCTCTGCTCCTCACCTTCTTCAGCTTCAGCGCTGCTGCATGCTGACTCTTCCTGCCGCCTCCCCTCAAGCTCCCGCACGTCCCATGCAATGAGAAGACATGGGACGCGTTGAACACAACACCCCTCCCATCCACAAACACATCTCTCAGCAACACCACCCCTCCCTGTTCCACCACCCCTCCCTGTTCCACCACCCCTCCCTCTTCCACCACTCCTCCCATCTCTCCTCCCATCCCCACCTCCATCCCCTCCTCCTCCTCCTCCACCCCCTCCCCCTTCTCCTCCTCCCCTTCCTCTCCCCCCCCGCTTCCCACCACCCGCGCCCCACGCTCAGCCTCTATGTAGTTAATCGCCTCCTGAGAGCGTCTAAATACCTCCTTTAGATCCAACTCTAACCCTTCTTTAGGACTCTCCTCCCCAGCAACCTCGTCTTTCACAAGGCCCTGCTTCTGCCTCTCCTTCTGCCTCTCCTTCTGCCTCTCACTCTCCTTCACCTTCTGCTGTCGCTCCTGCTCCGCCCACAACCATTCTTCCACAAACTCCCTCACCTCGTCCTCGTCCAAGCACATCTCGCCACGTGTCACCAGGGGGCGCGGCCAGAGCCATTTCCAGTGTTCACAGTCCTGCTGCACGGCCACGCTCCTCCCACCAACTGCTGCGCCGCTCCCACCCGCCCTACTGCCCGCCCCACCCACTGCGCCGCCTCCCCCGCCCGCCCTGTCCGCCTGAAACTGCTGCATGAAGGCAGCCAACCCCGCCAAAACCGCGCTGCCCTTGCTGCTCTCGCTGCTCTTGCTGCTCTCGCTGACTGGGAGGGCAGCAGTGGGGGTATCGTCAGCTGCCATGGGTCGCCACGCGCACGCATGGATGTGCGGGGAGGGGGCGTCAGGCAAGAAAAAGCCCCACTGCTGGAAGTCCGGACACACTCCTCGTGATGCTGTCGCTGCTGCTGCCCTGCCGCCCGCCTGCTGCTGCTGCTGCTGCTGCGCTCGCTGCCACTCCAGCTGCTGCGCGGATCGCGGCGTGCGAATGAGGTCAGCCAGAGGCAGAACCGCCAGGGACGATCCCTCCACCGCCGCCTCTAGCGCCGCCGCCGCCCCCGTTCGCTCCCGCTCACCCCGCGGATTCTGCGGATCTCCCTCCCGCTGATCCCCCTCGCGTTGATCCCACTGGTCCCGCAAGTCCGCTTGCTCCCCATGCAGCGCCTGCTTGCGCCTGCCGTTCCGCCGTCTGCCCCCGGTGCTGCCCGGTTCCGCTGATTCTGCGGGCTGTGGGCGGAAGCGGAGCAGCGGAGTGGGGTTATGCGGAGCTACTGAAGTGGCGAAATCCGCGGGTTGCGCGCGCAGGGGGAGCCGTGCAGCGGAGTCTGGTCGCAACGACCGCGCGGATCTATGCCCGCTGCTGGAATCATGCGATGCTCCGCGAAGAATGAACCCGTTTGCGCAGGAAAGCCTCGTACAGCGCAGGAAATTCTTGGAGAGCTCTGGATGTTGGGGCGTGAGGAGGATAATGATGCTTGTGAGGAGCAACGAAGCCCTGACTCTGCAGGCAGTATGGCGACAACGCGATTGAGCGTATCTCCCGGCCATGGCGGAAGAGGCTATCAAGGAGAATTATCTAGATCGGGTCGGAAGCTACTCATAGCTTCGAAAACCATTTGCAGGCCACTTTCAGATGAGAGGATTCTTCACTTGCGACGGCTGGTTTGGTCGCTATTAAACAAGCGATTGCCGCCATGAAATCGTCGCATTCGCATCAGGCGACGCACTGGTGCGACTGAACGGACACGGCGAATCGTTGCGACAGAGAAGACGCAGGACGGGCGATCAGCGGATTGAACTAGCGTTGAAACAAGCTTTGCGCACAAGCTTTGAAAGGAATGAGGAACATTGAGAATTGCGTTGATAGGTGCTGCCTAGGTGGGTGCGGCGGGGGGGAGAGCTTTGCAATCAAGCTGGCCGACATGACAGGTTGGAGCGGTTCGAAGCGATGCTGTGCGGTCCGATAACTAACCGCTTTCAACCGTCTCTTACCTTCTTGCACACTGATACGTGAAGTGCAATCAGATTTTGACGTTCTTGTTACGCTTTGCTGAGGAATGGTTGGTTGATAGTCGTCACAACAACAGCACGTGGTTGGTGGACAATCACCTTCCCACTCGATTTCTCCAGAACATCTCTTATACACTACTTTCTGTGTCTTCTTATCTTGAAACTAAATCTTTGCACGTGTTACGAGTGCAATTGAGTGGACGAACGAGAATTGCACTATCGAAGCAAGAATACAAATGAGCGAAGGCATGAGCGCACATTATATAGAGAAACTACAGTGGTAACGGTAATGGTCGCGCAACGAGCCTGGGACTGAGGTTGGGAAAGTGTCGAAGCGTAGGTCCGGAGCGCGGGTTACCAGCCGAGCCGTGAGGTCGGGATGCGATGTGCGAAAAGGGCGGGATGATGAATGATGCGATGGTCGCGAGTGGTAACGGTGCTGACTGAGGTGCTACAGTGATGTACGCGTTGAGCAGGGACGCGAAGTAAGGAAAAGGGAATTTCCTTACACTACCCCCCCTCCTAAGGAGGTCCTCCTTATGAAAGCGCGTGGATGTCTCCGAAATTGCGGCTACGCAAGTAGTCGGTGACGACGGGGTGATTTTCAACTTTCTCCAGGGGAACCCAATTGTCCTCGGTGGGGGTACGATCTTTCCATCGGATCAGAAACTCCACTTTTCGGGCTCCTCGAGGGTCGCGAACTCTGTGGCTCAGGATCTTGTCGGGGGTGATGACTGGTTCAGTTGGTGGTCGTGTCATGCTGGTGGGTCGATGTCGTGGGAGTTGGCTGGTGGATGGCACGTAAGGGCGAAGTAAGCTGACGTGGAACGAGGGGCTGACGTACCAGTCAGCAGGGAGGAGGAGGTGCGCGGTGACTGGCGTAACCATGTGACTGATTCGAAATGGCCCACAGTATCGAGGGCGGAGTTTTGGAGTGATGGGCAGGCGGAGGTTCTGAGTGTCGAGTAAAACGAGGTCGTCGGGTTGATAAGTAATGGGTCTGCGATGGCGATCGGCGTTGCGTTTAGCGATGATGTTTGATTTTTTGATTGCTTCTGTTGCCCTGGTCCGTGCTGCTTGCAGAATCTCGGCGAACTGTTGTGCTCGTGGGACGGGGTTGTCGGGATTCGGTGTCATGGGTACTGTTGGGTCCTGTCCGTAATTCAAGTAAAACGGCGACTGTTGCGTCGTGGCTGATGGTGCGTTATTGTATGCGAACTCGATGAGTGGCAGTTGCTGTTCCCACGTATTCGGATCGTCGCACGTGGCTCGAATCAGCTGCTCCATGGTCTGATTTGTCCGTTCCGTCTGTCCGTCGGTTTCGGGGTGATAGGATGAACTGAACTGTAACCGTGTGCCGGACTGCTGCCACAAGTTCCGCCAGAAGTTGCTTGTAAATTTCGTGTCCCTGTCGCTGATGATCGATGCGGGTATCCCGTGCAGTCGAACGACGGTGGTGATGAAGAGTCGGGCGGTTTCCTCGGCTGTGATTGATTTCCTGCATGCTGCGAAATGAGCCATCTTCGTTAGTCGATCGACGACGACCAGGATCGCGTCATTCCCACTCGCCCCAGCTGGTAACCCCGTGACGAAATCCATCGTCACCTGCTGCCAAGCACGCTCTGGGGGCGGGATGGGTTGTAATTGTCCTGCCGGCCGCTTCCTGCTTGACTTCATGAGCTGGCAAGTGGGGCACGATGCCACGTGTCGTTGCACATTGGTCAACATTTCTGGCCAGTAGTAGTACCGCTGCAGCTGCTGCCGTGTTTTTTCTACCCCGAAATGTCCCGAGGTAACTCCGTCGTGTGCTTCCTGTAACAGTAGTTCCCGCAGTAGCGTGTATCCTGGTACCCAGATGCGGTCGGTTCCAGCTTTTACGTAATAGACTCCTTTTGCCGCTGCGAATTGCTGTGAGTTGCCTCCTGTAAAGAACACGTCTGTTTGATATCCGTGGGTAAATAGGCCTGTCAGTAGCGGGCTGGTCTGGGCGAGTAGTATCGCGTGGATCTGGGCAGTGGGGCGGGTCAGTGCGTCGGCGATATTCGAGGCTCCTTTTTTGTATGTGACCGTATAGTGAAAATTCGACTCGAGGAAATCGAGCCATCGAATCTGTCGTGGATTGAGGTGGGGCTGTGCGCGGAGGTACTGTAGAGATCGATGGTCTGTCCGTACTGTCACGTCTGCGCCGGTCAAGTAGCAGCGCCACACTTTGAATGCGTGCACGATCGCGAGCATTTCGCGGTCGTGTATCGGGTAATTTCGCTCAGGCGGATGTAGTTTGCGTGATTTGTAGGCGATGGGTTGGAGGCCGTCGCCGAAGTCCTGTAACAGTACAGCTCCGATGGCGATGTCACTTGCGTCGGTAACCACTTCGAAAGGGCGGTGGGGATCAGCGATGCGTAGAACGGGTGGTGAACAGAGAACGTTTTTCAGGGCAGAGAAGGCAGCATGCTCTTTCTCCCCCCACGTAAAAGCGACCCCCTTACGCAGTAAATCAATGAGTGGGGCTGTTAAACGTGCCATGTCGGGCACGAACCGTCGAACGTAATTAACAAAACCTAAAAACCTCTGCAGTTCCGTGATGTTCGTCGGGGGGCGCCACGCTTTTACCGTATCCAGCTTCTTTGGGTCGATCTCAACCCCAGCCTCCGAAATGACGTGACCCAAAAACTCTAGCCTGTCCCGAAAAAACTCGCACTTGGAGCCCTTGGTGAGTAGCCGATGTTCCTCCAAAACCTTAAAAACCGCTTCAAGATCCACTAAGTGCTGCTGCTTATCCCGGCAGTAAACTAGAATATCGTCCCGGTAAACTATCACGCATTTATCTAAAAGTGGTCTAAACGCCTCGTTCATGGTCATCTGAAATGTCGCAGGCGCGTTCGTCAGCCCGAATGGCATTACTGTATACTCGAATGACCCGTACCTAGTCCTAGATGTTGTTTTGGCGCAGTCCGATGGTTCGACCCGAATCTGATGGTAACCTCCCCGTAAATCTATTTTCGAAAAGACTCGTGCTGTTCGCAGTTGGTCGATCAGTTCGTCGGCGCGGGGGATGGGGTATCGCGATTTGACTGTTACCCTGTTAAGCGCTCGGTAGTCGATGCACATGCGGAACCCTCCGTCTTTTTTCGGTGTGAACAGTATCGGTGCGGCGAACGGTGACGAGCTCGGTCGGATAAATTGCTTCTCTAACAGGTAATCTAACTGCTTCCTTAACTCGTCGAGCTCGGGCTGTGTCATTCAAAATTGGCGCTGTACAGTTGGCTGTGCCCCCGGTTCTAACTCGATCATATGGTCGTGCGCCCGCTGAGGTGGCAGTCCCTGTGGTAAATCATCCGGAACTATCCCCGGGAACTGTTTCAGTAGTGCCTGTAGTTCGGTCGGTACAGTTGCCAGCAGTTTCTCCAAATCACTCGGCTGCTCATCTCTTTCTACGAGTGCGATATCCACTGCGTACACGTCAGCTCCAGCAGCGACAGCCCGTTTCATCGTGATGGCGTTGACCTGGACCGTCGAAG